CAACAAAAAAGAATCATCTTCCGGGTGCCCCCACGCCCCTCGGGTTTAAATAAAAGAAGCCATAAAAATAAAAAATAAAATTACAAGGTGAAAGAGATGAAAATGTTGAGTGAAGAGTGAAGAAAATGTTGAGTGAAGAGTGAAAAAAATGTTGAGTAATTGTAGAAGTAGAATAAAATGTATGAGAATTGGTGTTGAAAGCGAAGGGTATTTATAGGAAAAAAAAATCAGAATTTTTTTGGATTTTTTAGTATTTTTTTAAAAAAAAATTTCGATTTTTTTTCATAATTTTATTTTGGGAAAAAATTGACTGCCGTTGGATTGCTGGAAAAAAGGGGATCGGAGAGCCCAGAAGGAGCCTAGGGGGGCAGTTTCAATTTTTTTTCATTTTTTTATTGGGGAAAAAATGGCTACCGTTGGATTGCTGGAAAAAGTGGATCAGAGAGCCCAGAAGCTAGCCACGTGGAAGAGAGCCGTTGAGGGGCACTGTAGCGGGCGCGTCAATTTTTTTTAAAGTTGGCGCGTGCGTTGCATACGCCAACGTTACGAAAATTTAAACTCCAACTCCCCCCCCCCCTGGGGCTGGGCTGCACGGGTGGAATGGCTCTTAGTAGGCAGTATTTTGTGTTGTTTCTTATTTTCTTTTGCTTTCTTGCCTTTCTCCCTGGTGGATGGGCTCTCTCTTGTTTCGTTTCGTTTTTTGCCTGTTTCGGCTTTTTTTGGAGGTATCTTTCGATAAAAAAAAAAACGCACTGCCCAATAAATGCTCATCAACTTGTTGGGCCGTCTTTTAAATATAAGATGTAGCCTTATTTTGGACTCTGGTGTAAAGAGTGCAGTCCCGTTCATAGGCTGATAGCTTCACACATGTTACCAATTTTTATTCCTTGTTTTTTTGTTTTTTTTCTTAAATGAAGTGTGAGTTACTAATAATAATGTTACAATCTGATTTTCCCTTCTTCTTTTTTTTCTCCATTATACATTTATAAACACCTTATTTAAGACATGAAAGCAACAACAAGAGTATATAGGTGCAGCAGAAACAGCACATACACGTAGTACAGCAATTAATTAAACATTATATGAATATACAAAAGATAAGTGAGGAGGGCACTCCTAGTCTTTGGGTAGACAGGAAGAGAATGAATGAAAAGATTGTGATTTTTGTGGACGATTTTGAAAGTTTATTTGTTAAAGGTTGCCAGAAAACTGACAGGGCCCTTCCCTGTCACAGCAGCTTGGATGCCAAAAATGAGGAAGACCACCATGGCAAGACGGGCATGCTTGATCTCGGCCAATTGTAGCCTCTCCTTCTCTTCCGGGTCAGAGGCCAGGCCCAGTGGGTCAAAGAACTTGCCACCCGGGTACAGCCTTTTCTCTGGGTCCAGCTCAGCATTCCTCTGGAACTCAATGTACCCAATCACCAACACTTCGATCCAAATCAAAGTGGTTATGGAAAAGGGAAGGGGAAGCCCAAGGTATGATGATCCTTCAATCAATTCAACCTGTTTTTAAAAAAGGATAATCAAATTATAACATTTTTAACTAGTTAGCCGAGGCAGCGAGCGTGTTCCATTGCATTCAAATTCGAATCTCTATCTTTTTCATAGATATATTAATTTGTGTAATCTTCGGATCCAATGGGCAAGTAAGTAAATAAATTAAAGTGAGGTAGAGGACAAAAATGAATTTTGGCGTGATCTCCTTGGCCATCATTTTCATCATTGCTATCACCAAATTCATCGTCAATAAGGACCTTACCTTAGGAGTTCGGGCCACCATGTTTTTTCGCATGGATAATAAGAAGACACGATCACCAAACAACTGTGCCTGCTTGTATTTACGTGCCTCCTTACATACATACAAAATACAAGATACGGCCTATGTGTCCTTCAAATTTAAATAAATAAATAAATATACAACTTCAATGGGGATGGATAGTGAGGCATATATTACTTCTACTTGTACGCACATCTTTATCTCTATCCACTCCATTCTCAAAGAATTTGGATACAAATCTAAGGTATGTATGCGTAAATACTCTCAAGCTACAAGCACATTGCACTGCGCCCGATCTTACTAATACTAAACAACCATTAGATTAATCAAAATTTAATTTGAGGAACAAGTGCTTGAGAAAATTAAGCATAAACACATATAATGTAATTCATATTAATAATTAATCAATAATTAAAGAATTATTATTATTACCTTGCCAGCGTCCTGCCATGCAACCCCTGTGAGGCCCTCGACAGCAAGAGCGCCAAGCGCACCCAACATCGCCCACCTCCCATGAATCAGCTCGCACTCCCGGAACCTCTGCAGCCCAAACACCTCCGAGTACGGCTGAAACGGCGTCGGATTCACCTCTGCAGTCTCGATCCGGGTCCCGATCACATCACCCGCCACATTCTTCGCCAAGTTCTGGTCCAGCCCGTCGTAATCGAACTGCAAGTACTCCGCGGGCTTCCCGAGTCCGAACGGATCGAACCCCCGGTCCCCGACCAGCGACCCGTCGAGCCACTCGGGCGGTTCGGCACCCGGGAACCATACGGGTCGTTCCCCGTCGTCAAATTTCTGCTTTTGTTTTGGTGGTGGCGGTGGCGGTGACTTCTTGGTGCCTAAGCTGAAGCCGCCGAAGTTTCCAAATCGGGCTTGGAATCTTCCGAAACTGGGTCCGGGGTTTGGGAGGCGGGCTCCGAAGAAGTAGGTAGTGACAGCGGCTGTGGTGGTGGCCATGCCTTAGTTGGGTGTGAAATTGGAGCAGAGTGGTGGTGGGACTGGTGAGTGGAGTTGTGTTTATATAAATGTGAAAAATAAATAATAGTGTGGGATTTGCATTTTGTGAAGGATTTGAAAGTGGGAATGATTAATTTAGGCCTTACCTTTGCCAAAGCCTTATCTCTTGGATATCATGTAGCTGTGGGATATGTTTGCTTCACCTCTCTTTTTTCTTCAATTTATTTATTTATTTTGGGTGGGGTCCTCTACTTTCTACTTTTACTGCCATGCAATGTATATTTTACCACAAAAAAAAAATACTATTTTTATGATCTAAGGATGAGCTTCTACGTGACAATAGCAGTGTGTCAACACTTCTCACTGTGCATTTTTGTTTACTCTGACTTTGTCTTTGGTAGATAAAACTTTGACTGTGCTTTTGCTGCGAACCAATCCAAAACCCATCCAGTCAGCTTGCTGTATGTATGTGTATGACCGCGTCCTCTACATGTAGCGTAAAATTTTTCATATATATTCTTAAATGGTCAACTACAAATAGTTCCAAAAAGGTTTCCACGTGTCATCTACTTGACCTTCAATAAATATCTTCTTGGCATCTCTCTCTCTAATGGACATGATGACCTCCCACAATTATCTCTTTACTTTTTTTGTCTTGGGTTGCTTAACTTGCTTTACTCTGTAGTCTCTTCTGCTCTGCTTTTCCCCTGTTGCGTTTCCTTCTCTGCAAAACAGGAGGTATGTGATTCTTCCCCCTTTGTTTTTTCAGATGTTTTTATTCTTTCTCTTCATTTTTGAGTTTGTAGTCTGCATGTTTATATAATTCACTTCCTTGTTGACAATTTAACATCTGGGTGGGTATTCAATCTAGTTTTCCAGTTGTCTTATTGCTTTGATCTGGTAAGAATTCTGCTTGGCTGCTGAGAAAGTAAAGTAGAAAACTTTATCTCATGTCAATAGCATAACTTGATTAAAGTTTTGGAAGCTGAATTGTTTGACCTAACCATCACCAGTTGTTACAATATGGGGTTTATGGGTTAAGAAACCTGGATTTGGATTTTCTCAGCAACCAAACATAGCAATATGCTTGTATTAGAGGGCTATAATTTGACTTATTTCAGGATGGTTGCATGACTTTGATCACTCCTAAAAGATTCTCAAAGGGAAAAGGAAAATATCAATAATTTCATTAAAATCAATAATTTGTTTTTTTTTTAACTGTGATTACATTTTTCATTCTACTTTTCTGGTTGGAGTTGGCGGTTATGTTTATTTGAATTGCGTTGTGCCAGAAATCAGTCTATTGAGAATGAAGGTTTCCAAGGGCAAAGGTCCTGTGAGGAAGGAGAAGAAAGAAGTCTTAAAGCCTGTAGTAGAGGACAGGTAATTTTCATAAATGGAATTCATGGATGACTTTCTTAAAGCCTGTAGTCGGGTTTGAGACTTAAATAGCTTTATTTGAAAGGTAATGTCATGTTTATGTTTCTTCAATTCAGAAAGGTTGGAAAGCGAAAGGCAGCGATTGAGGCTGACAAGAGCCGCCGAAAACTTGCTAAGAATGCAAAATTGGGCAAGAAGGACCCTAACAAACCAAAGAGGCCTGCTAGTGCTTTCTTTGTTTTTCTGTAAGTATCTCTCCAAATAAGATGCGCAAGGGAATCATTTTAGACTATTTCAATGAATCTTTAGATGAGATATACTGACGTACTGTTTAACTAATTATCACAGAGAAGAGTTCAGAACGATTTACAAGCAAGAGCATCCGAATGTAAAAGCTGTGTCGGCTGTAAGCAGCTTTCATAGTTTATGTTCCATTTAGTAGAAAGTGTTGACATTTGGTTTGGTTAGCCATTTCATCTATAGTCGGATATTGATGTGAATCGTGGGTGCTTTAAATGAAGGTGGGGAAAGCTGGAGGAGAAAAGTGGAAATCTATGTCTCATGCGGTAAGTAGTATAGTATCCTCTGAAAGTAATCTGAAAATATTGTGATGTATTAAGGACAGTATAATGTGCTCTCAGTGGACCTGGCTATGCAGAAATTTTTTATGACTTTGGAAGTTTGATCCATGCCAAGTCATTGCCATTCGGGTGATGAGCCCTTCATAGTTGTTATTACATGGGGCCGAAAATTTTCATATTTGAATCATATAGATGATTCTGTTCATTTCGTTTAAAAGGAATGAACCGTCAAATGCGAATTTTTGCATCTTGGATTGTGTGTTAAGTTGGAAATTTAGAACAATATTAATTAGTCATTGTGCAAAGGATGTATAAGTTCTTACCTTCTATAAGCTTAATTCTGTTTCTTTGGATTCAGTCCTGGCTCACAATAGATTGATCCCTTGCATTTCTTGTCTAATTGATCTTCTTATTGGGTTGGCATTGGTAGGAGAAAGCTCCATATGAAGCTAAAGCAGCGAAAAGGAAATCAGAGTATGAAAAGCTTATGAAAGCTTACAACAACAAAGAGGTACATAGACTCTACTTTAACAGAAACAAACCCTTCACCTTTCTTCATCTTTGCTTTCCTGACTCTTATGTCTTCTGTCAGGAGGACACGGATGATGAAGAAGAAGAAGTAGCTGAAAGGTCAAAACCCATTGTGAAGGATGATGAAGAAGAGGAGAGTGGAGAGGTAATCTTTGAAGCTATGAATCCTTGTGTTGTTCTACTGCCTGCTACATTGAGTCTTTATTTAATACTTTTCACATCTTGCATGCATTCTGATCTTTCATCCGATAATTAAAAAAGGCCCTTGTTATCATTATAATTTGCCTTGAAGTTGCTGTAAGTTCAACCTCCTGGTTTTGAAATAATGCATGAGCTCATTTTATTATCAAGAAAACCTGTATAATCCACTCCGTTTTATGTAGCTGTGAACGCATAATTGAAGATATTCAGCCCCAACTTTATGCTGCTGTGACATTCACAGTTTTTATCTGAAAAAAAAATTAGTTCATCCTACTAGAAACTATAAATTCATTCAGTGTATCATATGCTTTCACTAGATTCATTCTTTTCTGGCATCACAGTCTAATCACTAACAAGTCAAGAACTTGGAAAGCATTTGTGCCCTATTACCATTTCTGGTTGTTGATACCTGGCTAAAGAAGATATTTTAGGATTTCTATTGGATAATTAGCAGCCTAGCTACTGCCCCTTGGATTGCCTGAATTTTCAGCTTGCAATACTCAAATGATTAGGTGCACACACAAAATCAAAGAAATGCTCTTTTTCTGTGGAATAGGAGTGTACAAACGTCTTCTCTATACTTTACGTCTCGAAGGTTTCTCTGAGCATCCTAACATAATTGAAATTTTCAAATTGCAGGAAGACGATGAAGAAGAAGACGATGATGATGATGAAGACTGAAACTCGGTACTATTTTGGTCCATAATCGCAAGCCCGTGGAATGGGACTTTGTGTTTACACGGCCTTCACTTATGTTAAATATGGTTGTTTATTTGAGGGGGAATGCAGAGCCCTTGCAGTACGTCTATATATGTATGTACCCAATCCCTACCGTTGTTGTATATATATCCTGTTTTAAGCATGCGCATTGGCCGTGCATGAGATCTTACAATATTTTCTTCTATTTTGCTAACAATCATTGTGCAAGTTATCTATCAAATGTTTTTGCTTATAAAATCCACTGGTACGCCAAGGGGCCATTTGCCGGCACATCAGTGGTTTAGATGATGGGGAGGACCTAGGCTCCAAAAACAACCCTCACAAAGGAAAAGTTGCCATTACCACATAAGAAGTGGGCTTACCAAATTGGGCAAGTTCGAAGGCAAGACTTGCTTGGGATGTTGCCTGAGCAAGTTGATGTCAGCATGATGTTAGTGTGACGTCAGTGGCCAATTTGAATACCTGAAAAATTAAGAAAAGTACTAAAAAATTCAGATTTTTTTTTAAAAAATAAATACATAATCATGTTCTTTACTTTTCACATCAAAATTCATTCAAATTCATCTCCTCATATCTCATGTAAATAATGGTTGTCCTTGGGATGTCATGACAATAGATGGAAATGCATCAAAAAAATTACTAGGGAAATCACGATTCACCCTTACTCTTTGCCATGGCACAATGAGGTAGAAGTGCTCTTAAGTTCGAACACCCAATGGCACCAACCCCTCTTCCCAAACTGTGACCAAATAAAAATCAACCGGCATCAGATCTCTCTTCTCCAAATTGAGAGGGCCACTCTTATTCACAAATTTCAGAATGTGCTTGGCTTGGGCCAACAAATGATGAAATTTACTATAGCAACAAAGGCCCAAATTTCAGGATCTTATGAGGAGTATTTTGGGTCCAAACATAAAAAATAAAAATAAAAATATTATTGTTAGGAACATGGGTTTATAGAAAAGGTAATGCTCTGTTTTTTTCAGTACAAATGAAAGGGCAACCACTTTCCAAGCCATTATTATGAAAAAATATACTTGATCTTTTACATTAGTCTGATCAAACAGATAGGATATGCTAAAGAAACCAGATTAGATTAGTTACAGAAAAAGGGTTTAGGGTTTTTCTTGTGTATGAAAATGGTGATGGAGAATTTGAGAAGTCATGATTTCACACACCTGTCGATGTGGGAACATGTCACCAGAAAGTGAGAATGTGATGGTCACATGGTCGCAAGTAACGATATGCAACATGCCCCGAGTGGACTACAAGTGCCATCATCATCAACCAAAAAGCAAAGAGGGCTAAAGAGAAGAGCCAAAAAAAGATTAAAAGAAAAGCTTCCCACAATCCCTACAAAAACCAATTTGCTTTTCCTTTTCTGTTTCTAATGTCAATCATGATATGTGTTATAATTCAATCTCTATGATTATATTCCATGCATAATCCTCAACACTAATCATTTCCAATGTCAGTTCCCACCAAAGTCTATACCCCGTGTTTACTGTGCTTTATTACTATTTACTAGGATCTAGTGCTGTCAACTATCTTTTTTATCCACTCCTCATGTCGGAATTTGTTTGTCGCAGTGATTCACGGCTGGCCGCACGTGTGCTCACCTAATAATTTTTTGCTTCAATTCTAGCAAAAGTTGTAGGATGAGACTGGCCATTTATTACACGCATCTTTATTCACTTAATAAGATGGTTGTCAAAGGAAAATGCATACATATACTTTACTAAGTTAATTTTGTGTGTTA